AAATAATATAATATATTTTTTTTAAATTCAATCTAGCTTTATGACACAATATTGGATAATTTTTATAATAGTATAAAAATTACAAAAGTTTTATTTTATATATTTGTAAAATATGTATGTGGTATAATGTAAATAAATTGGAGATTTTGATCAAAATCAGAAATTTAAATTAAACGAAATGATAAATCGTCTAAAAGAAATCGTAAAAAAATATTATAAACATAAAATAATCATAAAAATTTAATAATGATTTTTTTACAACTTATAATTTTGAAATGAAATAAACAATTATAAAATTGAAAAATATACAGGATGTTCATAAAAATATGGGATACTTTTAAAAGATGGATTCTAGACACCAAAAAAGTTTATAAACATATACATATGTATAAAAAAATTTAGCAAAGGTATTAAATTTATATTAGAATAAGATAGCGAAAGTAGGACAGTGCTCAGCTGAAAGTGCGGCAATATTGAACTATTGTTTATATATGGACTTTCTTAACCTTTTCGCTACAACTATAGTCATTCTGCATAAGATGCCGCGATATAACGAGTGATGGGAGTTATTGCACATCAAGTATCTTTCTCTGGAAATGTAGCATCAATATTCGTTTTTATCATCAATTTCTTCTTTCAATAAACATCGTCAAAACAACTCGAATTGTGAGGCGTAAACGCGGTCAATTTTTCTCAAGCATCGTACGATGACTCATTCAACAGAAATGCTGCGCTGGAGAAGTCTATAGCGAAAAAGTTAATGAAAATAAATATATTGATATTGTTTTATACATAAATGACTATTTCTAAATTTCAGTATAATATATAATATACGTAAATATCGTATAATATAATTATACAACATTTTTATATTGTTAAAAAAAATTTATCTCTTTTAATCGTGCAAATTGAAATTTACATAATTTGTTATTTAACTTATTTCAGACAAATTATAGCAAATTTCATGATATTCAATGTTGTATGATGATTACACAATATTTTATTGAAAATAAAAAAATTATAAATGAATCATTGCATTACATTCTATCTGTGTCGAAAATAAGATTTCGAATTAAAAAAAAGGTTGAATGTATTTTTATGTATTTTTATACACATAATAGCTTTTTTAATTATTTTCATATGTATAAGAAAGTTTAAAGTACTAATTATATTTGAATCAATTTGAATTTTAGAATATTTTTTTTTTTTGTTTAATAATCACAAATCAAATCAAATTTTCATGGTGAATTTTTATCTTTATTTCACTTGTATTCAATATTTTTTTATTTTTACGCAGAAAGAAATAATAATTGATCTAGATACTGCATATTAATATAATATAAATTAATAGTATACATTAATATAGATATAGATATTGAATTTTGAATATTATTATTATTATTATTATTATTTTGTTATTTCATATCGAAATAGAAAACATTGAATTCAAATAAGATAGAGATAACATTTTTCAATTAATGCATTAAACTGTAGAATTCTTTTTAATTTAAATATTATTACTGATTTTTTTGTATATGTGATAAGTAAATTGTGTGTAAAAAACAAACATTCAATCTTTCTAAATTAAAATTTTATGGGAGTATTCTGATTTATTTCATGATCCTATGAATTTCAATAATGTTTCAAACGTCTCGTTGAGTGTCATATAATTATTTAACATATTTAAATAAAATGTTTGACTTATCAATGGATTTAAATAAAATAATATATAATGTTAATATTCTGGATAAGATCTTTACTGAAATATATTTGAGTTTTTGTTAAATAAAGAATTATATAATATGTATGTTATATGTTATACTAAAATTAGAAATAGTAATTTATATGTAAAAAAATATCAGTGTATTTAGTTTCATTAAGGGACTCCGTTACACAAGCAATATTGCAATATTATCTCTCATTTACTTCAGCATTTTTGCTCTTCACTCGCCATTTCACTCTATTTAATCTAACATGTTTATAATTCGTTAATTAAGCTTTATTACACATATAATATATATGATATAATATATATTTCTTTTTATCGTTTTGATGTCTAAAATTCTATATTTTTATGAATATCCTATATAATATAATTGATCATAATAAATATAAAAGATGAAATTGCCATTAATCAATATAGCATTTTATTATATTTTAAAAAAAAAAATGATCGAAAAAATGGCAATTTTTTGTTTAAATGAGCACTCTTCGAATTTTATCGTAATTTCAAGAAAATAAATAAATATAAAAAAAATACATAAGCTATTTTTTATTATAAATTATTATTATTTTTATATGTATACATCATTAAGTTTTGGTTGATATATCACGAACGAAAGAAAACAACTGTTTATTATGCATCAAATGAAATATTATAAATCAAATATTATAAATACAATATTATTATTCGTCATAAAAATTTAGATTTAGATTTAGATACACATAGAATAAAAACCATAAAAGTTAAGAATAAATCATAAAAAAAAATAATCGTATATTATGTTAATAAAAAAAAGCGTCACTAAATAAGTGCAGTTTTTATGAATTTGTAAAGAATATGTAGAGAATTGTTTTTATAAGTAATATATATATATAATAGAAAGAAAAAATATCAACTTCCAATATGAAGTACTTACATTTTATCGCTAATATTCAAATTGTTTAATTGATTTAATCCACGAGTCAACTGCGATTCATGTTTTTTTTTGGTTCAGAAGATCCGTAAAAAAATAACTTTTTATATTTTTAAAAAATTTTGCTTTGGAATATCAAGCTCGCTACTAGCATTATAATATATATTATAATATATACTTCTTTGATCGCTTTGCCGCTCATATACTTCATATATTTTGTTTCACCAATCATGCATGTAATAGTTAATTTGTTCATAGAATTAGTTAAGAGCAAAATTCGTACAATTCCTTAATGAAAAGAAGTAAGATTATCAATTATTATGATTAGATTAAAGAAATAATAATAATAAAGTTAGACAGATCTGGATATATTTTTCATTTCTAAATTATATATTATATTAAAATTATATTATATTATTATACAATATATAATTTTATGTATTAATAATATCATTTATTATTATTATTATCATTATTATTATTATTGTTATTATCATTATCATTACTATTTTTATTACCATTATTATAATTATAATTATAATAATAATAATAATAATAATTATTATTATTATTATTATTATTATTATTA